GTGATGCTAGGCTTGGAGATACCAGTACCCCGCAGTGTGAGGTCTCTTAAAAGCAGAGTATTGGTGCCCTCATCCTTGTCACATCAACTTGAAATGACTTTCCCAATATGAATAAAGGTTTTTTTTTTTTAAACCAGGAATGTTCTCTGAGGAAGTAACTAATACCTTTTAATACTAAAAGGACAGGCATGCCCTTCACTTTGGTCAGTTAGTGACACCAACCAACGCTCCCCACTGGCTCAGATTTTCTCTGGGCAGAGGAGGCAGGCTGCATATGCATGTTCTATGACGGGCCTGCTGCTGCTTGTCTTACATCTGCCACGTCATTTCTTTCCCTGATACTGAGAGATAGGGATTACTATCTCAATCTGCAGCGAGGAAAAATCCAGCTCAGAGGAGTTACTCGGGGAAGGTCACAGGGCTGGTGAGTGGCAGAGCCAGGGTCCTGTGGCTAAAAGAGTCCATGTTCTTTAAAAACTCAAGAGTCAGGAGGAAGGGGGCCCTAGAATGCTAGGTTTTCAGAGTTTAAAGCAGCTTGTGGCAGACTTTGCCTGAGATAAAGTTCCACAAAATTCCTCTAATAAGGCCTTTTTAATAGGAAATAACAAAAGGCAGCAGCTGGACCTCACCTCTCTCTCTTGAGCACTTATGGTTCACTCTGCAGGTCTGGGGCATCCCAGGACTGGTGTGGCTGGTTGGGCAAGTTTGCTTTAAGGGCCTTCTCACTTCAGCCCACTACCCAGTCCCACCCCTCAGCCTCTGCACACCTAAAATAGCTTTGAAAATACTTTAGACACAAATATTTTTGGGAGAGGAAGCTGGCTCCAGAGCACCTCATTGCTTAATGACATGGGAGCATCCTTCCCTGAGGTAGAAGCCAATGAGGAAGTAGCCAGGCCTTCCAGCCCACAATGGAAGAAACAGTACCTGAGTCCACTGAGCTTCTAGGCTTGGAGAAGTCCTGTCAGATGGCAGGCTGACCCTGGGGATCCATGCATGTGACTCACAGCTGGATATTCTCATGAAGAACTCATCTTCCCTTCACAACAATCCACCTCAGATCCTGTTCTTCCCATCTAAATCCACAGGCATTTCCTGCTGCAGTATATACACTACCAGGAGAGAGCAGGCCTCTTCCCAAGGTTAAGGGTTCCCAGGCACAGAATGGAGTCCTCCCTCTGGTGGGCCAGGCAGAAGCCATGCAGAGAGCCGGGAGTTCCATGGGCTCTGGCAGCAGGTGGTGGCAACCCAGGGCTTGCTGGGCTCCATGGGAAACCATTTGTGGGGTACAGATGAGGCTGAACACAGAGATCATAAAACAAAATTTATCTTTAATTGGTAAGTGTCAACAGCAGTACAAAAGATGGAGTGATGACAACTAGATTAGGGTAGAGAGGACAGTCTTGAGGTAAATGAGCATAAATAGGCAGTTCTTATAGACACTCCCCTGCGGGCCTGAGCCCATCATGGCATATACATTATCACCCAAGGATGGCATGTCTAACATATCAGGAAAGCACCTTGTGCAAAAAGGGGAAAAAAAAAGTAGCTAAGGTGCCAACACACACCAGGATAGACAAAGACAGTGCGTCTTTCAATTTTGTCTTTTCCCTTAATCATGAGGCGGAGGAGGGGAAGACTTGGAAAAGTACCACTGAAGGATTATTCAATGTTGAGTTTTATCTCATGTCAATACTGCACAACAAAATCCAAGAGGTTTGTATATGCAATTTAGCTAAGAACAATGATCCATTCCTTTAAATTTGAAGAGACTTTGTTTTCCATTTCTTTAAATCCTTAGCAAACTTTTTTTTTCATTATCAAGAGGAGAGTGTGAGAAAGATGTGATGGCAACCCTTAAGGTCATTTAAAAACTTTACACTGGACTGTACAAGATTTTTTTTGATAAACTATTTACATTTTCAGACTTTCAAACATATTCAAAGCAGCAATAGACACTAGTTTTTGTGTTTTTTTTTTTTTTTCTAATTGCCCAAATAGTTACCAGCCATGGGCCAAGTAGGTACCTGCATTATACATAGAACTTCTACAAAGAGAATCTGCACTTAAAATTTGCCCAAGGGTGTATTAAATGTCCCCAGAGTCTCAAGGGTCACACCCACAGTGTTGCTATAGGAACCAGAGCACAGTACCTTGACAACAGAGCTGCAGTTGTCCCAACAGCCTTACACAAACTTTACACTTGAAACAGCAGCCAGCATGTCAGTCCAGCATGTCAGTGAATTGTGCTGATTAAATTAACATACAATACAACCTCACAATATACATCACAAACAAATTACAATGTCGGGAAATAAAAAGAGTTACAGTAAGATAAGTTATGTAGTAACAGCTTATAAGCTTGTCTAAGGTAATAAAAATTTTACATGGCAAATACAATAATGAATGAACATAAATGCTAAGCATTCTAACTTGCTACGAGCTGGAGAAGGGTACAATAAAGACTACACTTTCAAAAAAGCAAAAACACATATAACAGAGGAAGACGAACGGAGAATGCACGAGCAGACCTGCAGTGTGCAGCATACAGGACAGCTGAATATTTGCACATTCCCCATACTCCAAGAGCACCAGCACTGAGGCCTCACTTTATGCTTGTGGTTCTTCAGGAATAAGAGCAAGGTACATCACTGAATCGCCTTCAAGCGTTCCTCTTGCCACAAACACCCATTAGAGGAGAACCTGCAAGAAGTATTGCCTTTCTGTCCCTACTGAATCCACCCTACCTCTGCCCCAAAGGTACCAGCATTCCCAATACTTCTTCATGAGTTTCTTTGTAAAGCACCCTTTCCCCAAAGGAAAAGATGGCATGGAGGATGAAAACGAAATGTGTTTGCATATCAATATTTTCAATGACATTAGCACAGGGTCACACTTGATAGTATGTGGTATCAGAAACAGAGCGTGATCAGCAGGAGTAACAGTGCTGTTTATTAAGAAAGAAAACAGTTCAGGGGGGCAGATGACCTAAGGAAATGATGCAAGTGCTTTTGTAAAAGGACAAATGAGGTCATATGATATTATTATACTTCGAGAAGTGAGCTTAAGTGCCAACTCAATCCTTGGACAAAAGTATATAGTATCAGGCAAGGCTACAGCAACTATTTTTGTCACTTTCTCATTAAAAAGGAAGACCCAGTAATCATTTTAATACATTCCTCTAGCTGCATTTCTTTGCAGTTGTTGGCACTTAATATAGGACTTCTCGTAGCTTTTTAAACTACTAAGTGATTCTTTTTCCTTTCCCTAATGAGTTGGCAGAGGTCAACTCTGCAAAATGAGTGAATTGAGAGCAGCAGCCTGGGCTGTGGCATTCAAGTGACCAGGCCACCTTCCCACTGAGGGGGAGATGGGCTTCCCCCAGACAATCCCTGCTTTCAGCTAGCGCCTACGCTCCTCGCTCAGGAGGGTGTGAGCCGAAGAATCAGCCTGGCTTCATAAGGCAAACTAAGCAGCCTTTACTTTCAGTCCCAGAATGAGCACACCCTTTTCAAACACTCCAGGCTCCTGTGGGGGTGACGTCCAGAGGAGGCCAAAATTTGACAAGCTCAATAACACTGTGAGCCCACACCTGAATTTAGAACTTGGCCTGGGAGTCAGTGTCAAGACCCTGGCAAATCAAATCAGGCCTGAGATCAGGGCTGGAGGATATCAAATACCAAAAGAAGCAAACTGATGATGTGTTCCTGAAAGGCTGAGCTGGGTACTTGTGAAAACAACAAAGCTTCCGTACCTCCCTGCAAAGGACACGGTCTGCAATTTGCCAGTGAAGTAGAGAAATTGCCGAGCTGGCTGCTCATGTCCGCAGATGAACCTTTTCTTTCTCTGTCCCTTCTTTCCTTCCTTCCTTCTCTTCTTTCCTATTTCATATGGCCCATTTTCTAAGGAGAGGATTGTCTTCCAGTGTCCCTATTCCCAGTGACAAAAAAAAAAGAACAAAACAAAACAAAACAAAAAAAACCCTGATCTGTAAGTTCTTTGTAGCTTTGATTTGAAGGATACTATGAAACAGGGAGCACTGAATAAGATATTTAACATTCTTTACTCCAGCTGTCATGGTGGGGTTTTATTACTAGCCAATCTCAGAGGCAGATTTTTACCTTTCAGATGGAACTCACGATTCTTGGATTTATGTGGATTCACAAAGCAAATTCACTCTCTCCTAGCTATACTGGAAATTCAGTATGTTCCATTTATCAACTTTCTATAAGAAAAGAAGGAGGAAGTCTGAGTCAGTGGTTCCAAACTTCATGAGAACCCAAGAGAAGGGCTTTGCTGCTTCGGCTGCAGGACAGATGCTGCCCTCACTGTAGCTAATAAGTCACTGTCACCAGGAAGTACAGTGACTCGTCAACTTTTAGTGTGGACCACATACAGATAGAGAACGAAAAGGAAATACATAACTTATATCTCACCAAGAATTCATGAACCCAAATAAATTCTATTTCTATGTTATATTTACACAATTAGAAAAATCTAAAATGAGATGGTAAAGTCATAAAAACTTTGTTTAAGCCCCACTGAAATAAAATGAAATGATCGCTATGATTGTCATTCTTAATTTTCATGAATATTTAGAGCCAAACTTGGCTAATAAATAAACTGCATATGCACAAAATTTAGATTCCAATACAGCATTACTGTCTGCGCCAATGAAAGAGGCATTTACAATCAGATCAGTCCTGAATAGCCTTTCATTTTTAAGATCATGGCTAGAAGTTACTGAACCCCAGTACTGAGGCAGAGCTGGAGCTAAAACAAAGTGTTCATACACACATGTATTTTGCATAAATAAATGAAATAACAAGACATAAAAATGACTCAAATCCGGCAACTGTGAGGCAAGCCCACACGAGTCGAAACAGATGACTTTTGTTCGTGTAGTTTTCGTACAACAGTTTCACATTAGTCAGAAGTGATAAAAAATACCATTTATATCCAGTGCTTATAACACTTACGAAACAACATCTGTGAGTGTGTGTGTTTTTTGTTTTTTTTTCTCTTACTACAAGCAAAATCAAGTTTCAGTCCTAAAGAACAGTCTTTTGTTCTCCACCAGCCCAGAATATTATTTTGGCAGGTCATAAAAACAAACAAAATTAACCTACTATGCTAAATGTTTGCCTTTGTGCAAAATTAATTACATACAATACAATGCTAGCCATACAACACTCTACCAATGCAACATGATTTAAAAAGGAAAAAAAAGAGTGAGAGAGCAAAAGCCAAAGAGAGAAAACAAGAGAATGAACCGAGGAGAGGTATATAATCAAAGAAATCAGTAAGACATAATAAATACTCATTTTTTGAGAAAAATGACCTCCTCCTCATTTGAAATAAAATGTACAAAAACAAAATTCCAATCCCCAACCAATATTAAGAACAAAACATTCCTATCAGTACCTTAAACAGCTTATAGAGAGCACTCCCAGTTAAAGACAGAGCCAGTAATATCTTGGCTAGACCTATTTATTGCTATTAGGTATGGCCTGGAGCACTCTTTAAATAAATATAAAGGTATACTATTTTCTTCCAAGTGACAAAATGGCTCAAGAAATCTGATGGGGCTGTTCCTATGTTCTGGTGTTGAGATTCTGGGTTGTCCCATGAGGCAAATTGTTCTATCTACTGAAACTCTCCTGCTAACCCAGTCTGGGTGAGCTCCACTATAGGCAACCAGGCCTGGTTCAGGGATGTCAAAATGGCGTAGCAGGTTCAGGGATGTCAAAATGGTGTAGCAGAGCTCCCTGTAGGAAGGTGATGGGGGATAAAATTCCACTGCCTCTCAACCTAGCAGAATGTCTCCAGAGCACTCCTTGAGTGACAAGTGCAGGTTATTTTCCTCACATGTAGGCAGGTCCCCCATCCAGCCATGGGTAAGAAGGGTCAGCCAGAGGAACTGGTATGCTGCCCCACGAGCTCTCTGTTCCCCAGGGTTAACAATAGGAACATGCCATATAGGGAATGTATTTCCCCCTTCTCCTTCCCTATGGTTTTCTTTTATGACTATTTGCCTCTGTCTTTGCTTCGAGGCTGTCAGGTGGCTTCTTATATCCTGGAGATTTTGCCAGTTTAGAAAGGCAACTCAGTGTAAAAGTGCCAGTCCATGACAGCTCCACTGTGGACTCCCATATGGCCCATAAGCCTTGGGGTTCAGGTTGGCTGCAAGACGCTCCTGCCTAGCAGTCACTCCTATTGACCCTCTCTGATGATGAACGGGATTCAGGGGAAATGCCACTGATGCAGATCCAACCACTTGCTGCAAACTGAATTAGGGGGAAACTCTGGTCAAAGATTTCAGGTCACAGTGAACCTCAGGGGCATATATGTTTAAGTTTAAGATTGCACACCTATACCCAAATCTGCCCTGCAGACAGATTTACAAACAATGTAGGTATTTAATAGTGTCTTGTTTCAGAAATGCTTTCCAGATGCTCTGGGGACATAAAATCACTATGTACACCTTTTATATCTATCAGGAGAAGGAGGTGGAAAAAGGACTGAAAGTTCTTCAGGGAAAGAGGGTGAAAAACAAAAATTATTAAATTAATGCCACCAACAATTTTTAAAAATAAATAGTAAGTGGACCCTTGACATTCTGGAATGAATAAATTATTTAAGAGAAAATGTGTTAAGACTGAATGTCAGGGCTAAAGGCAAAGGGATAATGGATGTAGTGAGAGGTGGTCTCAGTCAGGGGAGACCACCATGTTGGTTATCTGGTGTGGTGATTGCTCTGGTGTGTTTCTGTCATACCACGTCACGCACTGATGGCACATCAAGAGGCAAACACAATTGGGTACATGCACTGTGGCAACCTTGTTCATTCCTTACAATATCTTGTCTCCAGATTCCTGAGTACTTTACCATTTACTGAAAAAAAATGTGGTTTGCTATTTCATTTTAAGATGTCAAAGATTGTCTAAGACTTTGCAGTGTCTCCTTTAAGACTTTCAAAATATTAAGATTCAAAAGTTATGAAAAAGTTTGGCACATTCAAAGTTTAACTCTACATGTGGAAAAATGGAATTCCGAGGCCTTTTGAATATGCTCTGCATGCAGCTGCACACGCCATGGACTTGTCCTGTGTCACAATACGAAATCCTCAGTTGTTTTCTAAAGTAATTCAGAATAAAAACACATTCACAACCTGTAGGCCGGCACAGCATACCTGAGTGAGAATGTTTAACCCCATCTAAAACAGTAACTTAAACCTTTATCAACATCCAAAAGAAAAAAAAAGTAAGACAAAAATATAAGACTGTAAGACAGCTATGGGTTGAGATAAGTTTTCAAGTCCTGGTGTCTCATATTTAATATGTCTTCACCTAAATTAAAAAAACAACAACAACAACAATAACAATAACGACAAAAAACTCAAGTTCATGAAAAATCAGGGAAAACAATCTGTCTCACACTTTACGAAACAATTAAGACCATTCTGCTGATGTAATTGTGGAGCCACAAATGCATGCGGGCTCTTTAAGAACTTTTTGTTGGGGAGGGGGGTGAAATGTCAGAGTATTTTAATTCAGCAAACAAAACTCCTCAGTTGGCACTGACAGCCTCTGGGGCTTCGTTTTCACTGCTATAGTCTGATTTGGGGTCGTCTTCATAGTCATCATACATTTCCATTTCATCCTCTCCATTAATCATTTCATTTCCAGCTAAACTTCCACCATCCGTCTTCATGCCATAAGTGCTCTGGATGACCGGGAGGCTGGGCTCCGGACTGGCAGAGGTGCTAGAGCAGTCAGATGTCATCTGAGGTGATGGTGTGGTCGTTGCCATAGTAATAGCACCAGGATACACAACACCTGTTCCTGTGGTTATTGGAATCTGAGGCTGTTGCCTGCATAAGATTCAAAAAACAAAATGAAATAGAAGGGAAATCTCACAACATGTGTTCTTTCATGTGACACTGAACTTCATCCTCCCCAATGTTTCCTCTTTAACATTCCTAGTAAATGACAAAATGTGACAAAGGTGCTCCTCAGAAGAGTCCTCAAACTCTCTCCCTGGTACTGTGGTTGGGGGTTAAATAATACAATCGAGCAATTTGCCAATAGTTTTGTAACTAAAGACAGAGTTCTTTTAACTTGGCAAATATTGCAGAGTTTGGATAACACTTAGCATTAGGAACAAATTCAATAGCTAAAACCACAAAGTTGCATGTGGGATCATTTTTAAGCGCTCTAAGAACATTTTTAGGTAGACCAGTGGCATGAAACACATTGTAATGACACTGTTAAGCAGATTGGTGTCATTTTCACCTAGTCTTGTAGTTGTAGTTGGAAAAATCAAGATGCGAAAGGACCTAGTGTGTCCCAGGGAATCAGATTTAGCAAAGCATTTATTTCGCATCCTTGCTAATGTCTACCTTATTTATATGGCTACACTTGTTGGGCAGGATCTCCATCATCTTGGATGTCCCGACTCCCAAGGCTCTGCACTAGAGTGGAGGCTAGAGGAGTGAGGAGTAAAGATCAGTGAGCTTTGCAAGCTAACATAATAACAGACTGGAGACGTGCTACTTCATCCTAGATCTCAGCAAGTGCCAGATCATTTCTTCATAAAGTGATCTTAGTTCAAATAAATTCAGCAGACACTTTGTGAAGGTCAGTCTCTGCATCTGTAGAGAGACTTGGCTATTCTCATCAACTTCACTTGAGCACTATTACTGGCACACAAGAATTAAAGATCCACCTAACTCAAGAGACTATGCCTGAACAATATTTTCAAGGATTTAATATTTACCTAGTGGTCTTCAGTCTTTATAGGTAGTAAATTACAGGTGAGATTCTTTTCAGTGTCATAACTTCTTTTTATGAGATTGGTTTCCATATATTTGTAAAAGAGAAGTCAGGGAAGTTCTGGAACATTCCCCTACCTTTCTCTGTTAATGGTTCCAGGTCAGTCATCATTTGGACATTCTTATTGACCCTCTGCATTATCATTGAAACTTTCTGTCCCCCTCACTCTTACAGGAAGAGACCTCAATCTATGAAGAACTAGCTTTGTTATCAGCTATTCTGTGACAAGCCCAAGAGGAGCATAATTTCCTCACAGAGGTCAGCTGCTTCTGTGAAAGGGTGAGATGGTATGGAGACTATGTGAGATACGGAAACCTTGAGGTAAACAGCTTTTCTCCTCCACACACTCCTTGCCATGATGTTCTGTCTCACAATGGGCCCAGAAACAATGGAATCAAGTAACCATGGACTGAAACCTCCAAAACCATGAGCCAAAATAAATCTTTCCTCCTTTAAATTGGTTTTCTCAGCTCTTCTGTCACAGTGATGAAAAGCTAACACAGCCTGGCAGCACCCAGGTGACACTAAGCATTAAAGCACCTGATCAGTTGACCTAACACCTATGATTCTCACGTTGAGTTTTGAGTGCCTGAAGGAAGCAGATGACGTGGAATCTCTATCTACCAACAGAAAGGGCTTATAAAATACTGGTTCCACTCTCAGCAAATTAAATTCTCAAAACAATATACTTCTTGCTTCTTAAATTTTGATAAATTAACACAAATTCAATTTCATGCTAAGCTGTCTAAGGCAGTGAATACCACATTAAACTTGTAACTGATTTTTTTTTTTCTGAGCATATGGTATAATTTCTTTTTTAAAATTTTATTCTATTGTTTTTACATTTACTTACATGTGTATACATTATTTGGGCCACCTTCCCCTCTCCCCCTCCTTGTAACTGATTTTTTATAATTATAGTAGAAATGTTGGCCTTAATCACCTTATGAAAGAGTGAAAACTTTTAGTGTAATACTAACCCATTTCACAGATTTCTTAACTCAGTAAGCTAATCTAAACTCTGCAGAACAATGCAAACCATCAAATCATAAATTTCCCTTTCACAAAGGACATTTGCTTTTCACAAATACAGATAGTCATATTTGAAGTACTTTAACTAATTTATTTTTCTGTCTATTAAAATAAATTTAAGTTGAGCTCCTATTATGTACTAGGACTATACTTAATGCTTTCACATAATCTTGTTTAATCCTTCTAATAAGTCTGGGGGTATTAGTTCTCCTCTTTTACAGATAAAGTGACCAATTAAAGCTCAGAAAGGTTAAGTTGTTTGTGCAAGGCCACTGAAGTTCCACAACCAGGCAGTGAAACACTCCTGATATCACAAATTCTTGATTAGATATCAAGATTGGGGTGGGAAAGGCAAGCTCACACCATCAGAAAATATACTTGGCAATCTGAATCAGAATCAAAAATTTTTAAGCCCAGCTTAAACTTATATTTAACAGTATTTGGAATTAAGTTGGTAGTGAAATGCTAAAAATAAACAAACAAGTGAATAAAGCATCTGTACAACTTCCTGGACTGAGCTATATTATAATATTCAAAAGCTACTCACGGGTGATAGAGAGATACAACTGTTTTAAGCCCTCAGCCAATGCTAACAACTGAAATAGTGATGGTGAAAACCTAGGGGCTACTCCTCACCTTGGGGAAATGAAGTTGGTCCAGTTCCGGTAGGTCTCCTAAATTCCATATAACTGCTTCAGGCTGTACATTAATGCTAAACTAAGAACTCATCCCTGTAAGAGACAGTTTTTACCTCAGGACAGCCTTCTAGTAAGAAGATTATAGGTCTGGAGTCAGACTTGGGTTTAAATCCCAACTCTGTCAGCTGGAGTTGTGTGAATTTAGACAGACTAATTATCATCACTGACAGCCTCTTTAGAGGACTGGAATAACTACACTCACCTGACAGGATTGCCAAAGAAATTAAGAACATATACGTAAAGCTTTACATATACAGAGTAGGTACTCAGTGTCAGTTCTGTTTCCTTTCCTCTATAGGGAGTTGGTATAAACCTCATAGATAGCAAGCATAATCTGGATCTGGGAGGATCCTAAGGTGGTGACAAGATGACAGGCAGGACCACCCATGAATACCAGCCCTTAAGAACCATTTTCCAGCTAGGTCAGGAGAGGCTTCCTCTCTATCACAGTGCACATAGAGAAAGTAACTGAAATGGGAGTGTTGAATCTCAAGAGACTGCCATTGGGTTCTGTATAATTTTTCTAATCCTGATTCTCTCCTTTCCTAATTCCTGAAGTCCTTCCATACATCCTCTTGGAGCTCAATGGCCAGTGCTCATTGCCACACCTTCTTGCTCTTGGACTAGTCCAAGCCACTATCATCTCTAGTATGGTTTATCCTAAGAGCCTGGCCTTCTTGCTTTGGGCCATCCCCTCTTTAGACAAGTCTCAAACTGTACATAGAGTGTTCCTTCCAAAACCTAAGTATGAGGACAGCACTCTTCTGCATTTCCATCTCACTCAGAGTCAAGTTCAAACTCTTCACCATGACCTACAAGTCCTTTCACAGTTTGGCTTCTGTCACCTTTCTGATATCTATTACTCTTCCCTGTACTGATTCTGCTCTCCTCCTGTTATTCTAGGCACTTTATTTCTTCTTGAACAAGTCAGGCACAATCTTATCTCAAGACCTTGGCACTTGATGTTTTCCCTGTCCATTTGTCCCAGATATCTGCACATCTTGCTCCCTCATGTACTTAGGTCTTTGCTCACACCTTCTCAGAGAGTTTTCTGTGATCACTCTGTTTAACTTCTGAAGCTCCCTATCACTTTCCCTTACCTTACTTTTTTCTTTTATCGCTATTTTGTATTTATTTTACCATTTATTGTTTGATTATCTGACATCCATTCACAAGGATGGGAATTTTCACTGCTATAGCTCCAGAGTCTAGATAATGCTTGGAACATAGAAGGCACTCAGTAAATGCCTATTGGATACATGGAATCAATTAGGAAAAAACAAGTGAAAAATCTTTTCCAGACAAGGAAGGATGTAATGAGACTAGCTGTATAGGAGTAAAGGTGGTAGGAAAGGATATGAATGTAACCATCTTTAGGGGCTTGAATGATTATCTTCATACACAAGGAAAAGATTTGTTCTAAGATACAAGAAGAAGACTAGAACCAACCGGCAAAGCAGCAGAGAGGCCAATTATGGCTTAATTAAAAGAAAAAGAAGTTTCTAGCATTAGGAGATGTTCCATAAAGGAACTAGTTCCTGTGGGCAGAAAAGCACTCCTGCCCTTGAGAAGACGAAGCAGAACATAGTAAGGACTCCTAGAGTGGCTGGCAGCATGAAATGTGCAATGTCTGCAGCTCCTTTGAAGGTACAACTGATTCTGTGGATGCAAAATCAAAAACTATCACACTGATCTTATTATCTTGTAGTTATCAACATAAAAAGAGACTAAAAAATTAAGTAATCTCTCCTCCTCTGAGTTCCACTGCACTTATCTGTAACATCAAGAGAATCACTGCAATATACATTACATGTACACACTCTATGCTGTTTACCATGCATATGTGCAAAAAACTACTATTTGCTAATCTATTCCTGCATGTGACTGGCTTTTCCAACTATAGTATTCTCTAAAAGCTCATGTATACAGAAATAATGCCTCATGCTATATTAATTTAGTTCAGAGCTGGGAAACTAGCTGGTTTCAAATAGCCCTTACCAATTGACTGGGAAATCAATGAGAAAAATGAAAAATCCAGCCAGCAGGCTCAAGCTTTGTCTATCAGGAATTGCTTTTCTAAAAAGCATTTTTCCTTCCTTTACAGATCAATTTAAAAGTCAAAATTCAAACACTGCAAATTTCACAAATAGGAGTAGCTGGCAGGCATTGGGCTCTACAAATAATGAATGTGCATATCCAAACAAAAGTTCTAGATGTCTGAAAAATGTATACATGCAGTTGATATGAACAGAGGTAGCCAAGTAAAGAGTATAAGCTGGCCTGAATAGGGCTCAGCAGTGCTGCATGGTTTTCAAATCACCAGAATATTTCTGGAGAATAGTGTAGCTTTGCCAATTGTAAAGGGACTACATATTTATGTTGGCAAACTTCCACTGTTTGCTAAACCTTCAGAACATTACAGAGTCTATAAATAAAGGCAATGATGTTTGTTTCATGAGAAGGTAAGGCTGCATGTTACCAATCTCTGTGGTTGATGTTATACAAAGGAATGGAAATATTAGCAATCTCCTAACTTTATCTATTGGATATTTTAATCCAGCTTCTATACAGGAGGACAATACTGAAAACAGTATGGCCAGTCTATATTGCTCAGTTTCATGTATAAGTACCTTATGGGCTTGATTCAGCCCTTGTAGGATCAAGATCAAAATGGTAAATATTCAAATAACTTATAGCATAAAGCACTGGGAAAATAATTCTAATATAATATGAAATACATACTTGATACATAGCATTTTTCTAGATTAACAATATTTATTCTAATTTAGGGCTTACCATGTACCACATACTGATCTAAGCACTTTCGATAGATCAAGTTTTTCAATCTTCAGAAGAGTCTTATGTTGCTTGCATTACTGTCACTATTGTCATTCTTATTCTCATTCTACATATGAGAAAACTGAGTTGCAAAGAGTTTAAGTTTTCCAAGGGCATGTGCAGGGATCAGAGCGAAAAGACTGATACGCATTAGTTTCTCCATCAAGGAAGAGGAAAATGTAGTACTTAAGCCAGAACAGTCTGGTTCTAGAACTGATGCTCCTCACCACTATACTACACAGGCTCTGAACAATCTGTAGGCTCTAATTGAGAAGTATGTGTAATGGCAAAAGGACATATGTTTCACATTCATGTAAGCCTGGTTTGATACAAGAGTTTACATTTACTAGCTGTGTGGCCTTAGACAAATTACTTAGTATCTCTGAGCATTGTGTTTTAAAACACTGTGATGGGGATGATATTACCTATCTTGTAGATTTGATGTATTTTCAATAATCTATATAATTCACTCAGCACGGTGTATTGAATATAATAAGTATTCAACAATTTACTACTACTATTGCTTAAAAAGTAGCCCCAAGATTAATATTTTATTTTACCTGTATAACTTTCTACCATCTTACAGGCAAATTACTAAATACACTTTAAAATAAAAAGTACATTTGGTCATAATTCTTTAGGAAAAGACCCCACTGTAGCTATAGATCCAATGAACAGAATTTCTACGTTGCTAGTATTCCGCTCAGGATCATTACAAAATTCTGATAGCCAATTTACCAACTGAAGGGGTTAAATCTCAGGTAAGAGCTAAATTTACTCCATGTTATTGACAAATTCTTTTCATAATCGCTAAGTAAAAAAAATTCTTAACTCATCAGCTACAGTTTTGTAGTCAGTAAAATGCACAAAAAATGTCGAGTACTGTATGTAATTTTATTGGCTTGAAAGTTATGCATGTGTTTTCACAATCAGCTATAAAAATTGATCTCAACTCCATTCCATCAAGAAGTCAATAGCAATCTCTGAAATTTTTGTTTGTTTTTCCTCCCTGCTCCTCTTGTCATAACCTTACCACTAATGAAGATCAATTTCCAAAGATGAACCTTAGGGAGTTAATAATCTATCAAATAGAACTACTTAAAAGAAAATACAAAACCACAAGTGGGACTAATACCTGGATTTATGTAGCAATCACTGTCAAAGCCAGGCAGAGGGAAATGCTAAGCACTGAGATTAAAGAATAGGCACTCTGGTCACTGCCTGCATTTCTAGAGTACCGCTCCACAGTCTGACATGATTCACTCTCCTACGCTAAGAGAAGCAGGATCCCTGGTCTCTCAGTTTCAAAACTCCTTTTACACACTGCATACCACAACTTCACTTTTCCCAAGTTCTGTAAGCCCTTGTTCAAACGGCATCACTACGCTCATGATGAGGGCTCTGAGGCATTTCTGAGGAAACATGGTGAAGCATTAGTTCCTTTGTTGTTCAGCATGTTAGAGCTGGAGACCTGAATTTGAACCTTTGATCTTTCTCACCTTTCAGGAACCACAGGCTCTCTCTGAACCTTGATTCCTTTACCTTATTTGGAGGAGCATGTGATTGGTATATCCAAAACACCTAGCATAGTGTAGACATTCAATAAATGGTAGATGTTATGAAGCTATTTTAGTTTTATATTTATTATGCATTGATATAGGTTGAGGCATTTTGATCCAGAGCTATTTTAATGTACCCTTTAATAAAGGGAATTAAATTACATACCATTACCACACACATTTTCAAGTAAGTACCAGGAAACTAAAAATAGTACTCCAATAGCCTTTTAGACTACTGTGAAAGAGACCACTATGTATCACTGAATACACAGGTGATATGACTGGGGAGAATGGCAGGAATCACAAAAGATCCCAAATTTAAAGTTTTGATTCTCTATTGAAAAGAGATAGATACAATCTTAGGGATATACTCACAGGATTAAAAGAAGATGTTTATCAGTCTTAAATTTGTACTTTGTTACCTATGACTACGCTACCAAAAGGTTATTCTGAACTGGTATGTTCCATAAGTCCTCTATTATGTGAGTAGCCCAGCTATATCACATTGTGCCTTTTGTGTTAAAAGCATTACTTTTTAAAATGCAAACATTTATACTACAGAGGACTTGGTAAGCCTATTTTGGCATGCCTGCATTTATTAACATATTGGAATCTTCAATAATAAAGTGCCATAAGCCTCTCTTTACCCTTAAATGGTTCTGCCACAGTAAAAAGAAATTCACTGACTATCTAATATGATATAAAATATGTTTCGCTATGATAAACATTAAATTCTGTTTATTATTTTGAATTAACTTTATCCTTTTAAACACATGCTTCTGAAGCCAATTTTTGTTCCATAGGATTTCCTTTCGCACATCCTTGAACACAAATAACTGCCTGCTTCCCCTTAAGACCTCTCTTTTTCCATCTTTTAGTGAGGCTTTCTTATTTTCTGGCACAGCACAATATCTCTGTTCTCCTAGGAGCTAACAGTGAGTGCAGCTTCCTTTCTGCTCTTTCTACTTCTCTCTCACCAGCCGTTTCCCGAGTCTCCCCCTCTGATTCCAGCTGCTTCATCCAGGGTCTCCAGTATGGCCCTCTGGTTTCCACCCCTGTGCTGCTAGGTACGGGTGTGCTGGAATCTGCAGGCGTCTGCATCCCCACTTATTCTGACTACTGTGGTTATGAGGGGCCTCTTTTGAATGTAGACAGTCAGTCAGCCAAGTCGAAATTTATACCAGAAATCTATTACCTAATTTTTAAACAAAATGACATGAAATCAGACTTGAAGATATCAAAAACATGTCTAGTTTCTGATTTAAGCAAGAAAATCCTCATTGTTACTGCTTCTACCACAGAATAATTTACTGCAACAGGAGTTCTGGATCTTATGCCAAAAATGAGGCCTTCTAACCAATGTCAAGGCCAATTATCTTGTGGTAGATCCCACAACAAAAGCAGACTATGTGATTAGAGTCAGAAGCACCACCAGAGAAGCTGGGAAGCTTCTGGGGATTTCTTAAAGTTAGTTTTTGTTGTTTTTTTTTTTTTTTTTCTCCCCATGTGGCTGTCTAAATAAACTACCAGAAACTCTGTGTGTGGGCATTGAGGATCTTAGATTAGCATGGAAGACAATGACAGGGACCATGAGTTGGGAGTGAATTATTGCAGGTTTGTTCTGAATTGAGCAGGAGCTAGGTTGCAGGGCTGAGCATTTGTGACACAGCAAAGATTCTCATAGTCAAGTCCTCAACATGTCACAACCCCCTTCCTTCCCTAATCTCTTTCCCAGACATACTGCCAGGAGCCATCCTGTGGTTTCTTCCTGGGAAGGGAGAGCCCAGGTGTCTCCATTGAGAAATACATACCCCACAGTGAAGAACTGCCTCATCTCCTGTCGCCGGGACCGCATCAATTGCTTATATTCCCCAATTCGGAGCTTTTTGCCATCAACAATGCAGGTGCGCTTCGGACGGGGCTTATATTTATAGTTTGGGTACTTCTCTAAGTGGATCTTGCTTAGCCGGGCCTGCTCTTCATAATAGGGCTGCTTCTCCTGGTTGGACATAGATTTCCAGCGAGAGCCTAGACAGAAAATAGCCTTAAAGTCAAGGAAACATGTTCCAGGCAAATACAACAAGATGTATTTCACTCTACTTCATTGCTTTGCTCTGGGTAGCTCCATATACCACTGAGCCTCAAACCAGTCTTTTAGAATATGGAGTGAACAACAATTATGTACGTAATGCATTAATTGTATATTACTTCTCTCAATACTTTAGGGCTAGTTATACTTTTTTTTTTTTTGTGGTACTGGGCATTTAATCCAGGTCCTTAACACATGCTAGATAAATGCTCTACCATTGAGCTATATCCCCCGTCTCTTATCCTGTTTTAAAAATATGTCTTCTGCTTAATTAATGATCATCTCCTACATCAAGGTACATACCCCATTCAACTCTCTCTCTCTCTCTCTCTCTCAAAAAGATTAACAGCCTAAACTTCCTAAATATGCTTCTGAGAATGACAGGCTTCTTAGGAAAAGCTCTCTTGGTCCCAGACATTTAAACATCTGTTACTCTCCAAGCATCTTTAGCAAAGCTAACCTCTGTTAAGATGTCAGCAGACATTAATATTCTTCCATATATAAAAATCAACAGTATGCACTATCAACTGTGTGCACTATCTCCCCTGGTCTAGGGTATTTAAAAAAAACCTCAACTCTACTTAAGAAGTTTAGCTTTAGAACCAGAAGGTACAGTTGGAATTGTATGTACCATTTTCAAGTACTTTAAATATCCATTCAAATCTGTATCAATAAAAGCACAAAACTTTTTAATATGGTTTATACAGGAAGGAGGAAAAGCATTCACTTCTTTAATATTGTTTATAAAGAATTATCTAAACACTTGACGAAGAAGGGATGTGTTTTTTTACGTGTATCAAATTGCATTTTTGTGCCTCGCTGGTGAATGAAGCAGTAACAGCTGTGCAGACTGGAGATTTTTCATACCTAAACAAATGGAAAAGTTGTACAAATATTCTCTGCAGCCAGCAATATCCTGGTCTGCTTAATAGCACATCCATCCCTGTTCCTCCCTGACTGTTGTGCAGAAGTCATGTAGATCGTGCACACAGATCAGCCTCTCCCTGTGCTGCTGGCTCCCAGCAGCTTAAAGCCCCAGTTGAAGATTCTCGGTGCTCTTGAAGTACTTGTGCATAAAAGGTTACATATTAATGAATGTATCTGCTATATTCTTAATCATTTTTTTCACACAATGCTTATCAGTAATATAGATTTTTCATGGCTGCCAAAATGGAAACACAGAGGGTCTGTGCCTATCTGAAAGCTTACTAATATTGCCACCAAAATGGCAGCAAACAACTATGAAACTCTCAAGGTTGTATACCAAATTATAAGGCTAGAGCAACACTGATTTGTTGTGGAATGTCTTTGAATTTGAAAAAAATATAATCTGTCCACTAGAAAAATTTTGGCTTGAAAGGCATTTACATTAAAAAGAATAATAACCTATATATATCCCTGAAACCTGAAAAATAAAACCTCACTTATTGTGATGACTCTTAGTACCCATCTTAAAATTCAAAAGTGAAAATGAAAAAACAATGTGTATTAGAATGTCTCAGCACTATTTGATCATGTGTATGCTTTAAATCTTCCTAGGGGTCAATGCCTCAAAATGTCTTAGAATCAAGTTAAATTATTTATGTAGTGACAAAACACTTGTATTTGTGTATGTCCAGGTCACTGATATTTACTCAGGTTAAATATTTATTGTTTTTGAACAAAACATTAAAAAAATTAAAACCACGGTTTAAGTCCCTAATGTTTTTCAGTTTCTTAAATGCCTCCTTTTGAGATTTTGTCACATCATGACAGCTTAAATAGAACAGTGCCTTCTGTGTTTTTCCTTTTTAAAGAGGAAACATGTTGGCTGTAATGCTGCATGTTGAATAAAATATGTTCAATATGTTAGCACAATAATTCTAAACAGTATAATCTGTACTAGGCAAGCTTTCCCCTAATAGAATGAGGCTTGAGTTTAATCCTGAGAAATGAGAGAATCACTGGCAATTTACCACAGAATGGGCTTCTGCCCTGTGGTCTATGTGTTCAACTCACTGCTATGAAACTTGAACTGGTCGTACCTTATTAAAGAAAATGCAGCTTTATTGTACAAGTTTTAAAGTTATCATTGGAGGCACTGTTCTGCACTCCATGAATTTCACACTGGTTTTGGGTTTACCCCTAGTCCTTGATGAATTCTTGCAGTGGAACACATGAAACCAAGAATACTCCAGTAAAAAATCAACTTACAGTATTTTCTGAGTATTTCCAAGATTGCATAATGATTTATAAATTTAAAAGGACTGAATAAGAGAAAATCTAAAGCTTGTCCCCAAGAAGCAGTGACTTCTGAAGAGCTGCTCAATTTATAATATTAACACATTACTATAAGTAGTTTGTCTCTAAATAACCTTTTAGCCAGTCTTGCCCTGGCAATAGTCTTGTCTCTAAAATCAGCTTTTAGCCACTGGCTCTGATGGATACAATAACTGCTAAACCTAAACTCCCTGTGATGGGATAAAGGAGACAGTAAGAGAGGTTGCTGTAGCAACCGGCTGAGTTTCATCTAACTTTTTGCCAACTGCAGTTGAAGCCTACTTCTGCCTGTTTTGCACCCTTGCAACTTTCCTGGGGTAAAAGATCAGCCCCTGCTGCGTGGCTACGCTGCTGCACTCACCTAAGATTTTACTAATGTTGGAGTTGTGCATGTCGGGGAAGGCCTGAAGGATTTTCCTCCTCTCATCCTTCGCCCAGACCATGAATGCATTCATTGGTCGCTTGATGTGTGGCTCACTGCTGGCACGGCCGCGGGCATCCCTGTAGACTCGTGCTTCAGCCACGGTGGCACCTCCTGTTGGCCAACAATAATACTGCTGTAGTTTAGCTGCAGAGCCATTCACCGCTTTACTTCCTGGAACGTCAGGGCAGGAAGAACAAGATGGATGGAAAGCATTATTATGTGCACAGTATAACAGCTTGCCGCCTGCTTTCACGGCTTCCTCTGTGTCCCTCTCTTCTGTTCTAAGTGACCTCTTGGAAGGAGAAGACAGTTTCAGATGACAAGTCTACATACCTTTCTGACCAGGCCCTCAAACAGGCATTGGGCAGAATTAATTGTACATGTTTTTATATGCCTACCACACTTACTACAATCAATTCTAGGTGGAAATAGAGTGATGGCTGGTGTTATTTTATGATAAACTGTCTTTCTGTGGTTCATTTCTTCAAAAGTAGACTCTTATTGGTCATTTTAGCCTCATTTGCTGAAAATCTCAGCCACTTTAAATTATATGTTTCCCTCAGACAGCATTCTTTATTCGCAATATTGCGTGCTGGCTTGTGATCTTTGCATGGCCTGGGAGACCATTCTCCTACTCCTTCATACTAAGTCCCACTCATCCTTCAAGTCCTACCAAATGTTGGTGTTTCCTGAATGAATGCATTAATCTAGTGAAAAATATTAACTAAACAATTACTCTGGGCAAGGCTTCACGTGCTGGAAGTAAAGGTGAAGAAAGCAACTCCTGCTTTCAGGGAGCTAACAGTTTGGAGGAAAGACAATTATAACAAAGGGTACGTGGTATATGCTGCAGTGCTCAAGTTAGCAGGGTGCCAAGACAGCATCAGACAGGATGGTTAACCAATGTTTCCTAGAAAACAGGATACCCCTGCTGAGTCTCAAAGGATGAACAGGTATCAGCAGGTGACTGAGAGAGAGAGAAGGAAAGACAGATGGAAAGGGTATTCAGGCTAAAACACAGCATTTGCAACGATGAACCCCAGACTGCCCTCCTTCCTCTTGCTTTTAGACTCCATGCCCCCAAGTAAATTATTTTTTATGTGACTGTCTCCTTCTGATGGCTCCGCTGCATTCCCAGGAATATGAAATCTCCGATGTTAGAGGATATGTTGCACTCCTCCTTGTATACCTAGACATTCCCACATAACAGAAAATAAATATTCACTAAGTAAGTAAAAGATCATTTGATTTTCAACTCCTATGCAGAAGTAGTAGACTAACAGGTATTCATTTCAGGGGTCCTGATCTATAAGGGAATTCTTTAACATTTATCAAATATATGTAAACTCCTGATATTTCCCACATTCTGACTCTTCTGACATAGTTAATCGAAAGCTCCTTGAGGATATGGGGCTTAGTCTCCATTCACTGCTATATTACTTGGATCTGGGGAAATATCTGGAACATAGAATTTCTACTAGCAAAATGTCCTGAATGGATGCATGGAAGATCTTGCTTGTTTTCATGCATCCCACCAGTATGACGCACTGATGTATGCACTGCCATGTGGCGACTACTGACTATCTGTTTAGAGATGAGAACTTCTCAGTAAAATGTGAAGTAGTTAGACTGATGGCCTCAGCAAATGCTTCTGCTGCATAAACAGGAAAGCCCACCAAAATTTTAGAATTAAAATATACATTAAACAGTTCCGTTTTCTGGAAAAAGTAAATCGGTCATCTCAGTGAAGTTATACAGGAACAACATGACCCAATCAATCTCTGGCCCTTTTATTTACAGATATCTTGCTTAGGTAGAAATTTGTTTGTGTCAAAGCCAGTAATAAATTACAACATTAAAAAGTGCTATTATTTGGCAAATATGGTCATCATTTACTACAAACAAAAGACAGGATAAAGGGATGGAATTGGCTAATATTGTGAAAAAAATTTAAACAGAAAGGAGAGCAGAGAGGCCACATTCTGAAGATCATGCAAAAATATCATTTTATAAACAGCCCTTCTTTAAGGACTACTAGACAGAATGATGCCTTACACGAAAAGTCTCAGATCTCAAGACGCATAACTAATATGCTACCTTTTTGCCACCATACCCACAGTACATTAATTTCATTTAAAATGCACTGACCATACAGGATAAATTGATTTCACTTTATATGGATTTGACAACCATGTTTATTGTGCAGTGAAATGTAGTGTAGCTTCCAGCTGACAATATCCATCAACACAGGGCAGTGTGCTGACTGCTGGGCCAGATGAAGGCATACATTACTCTGGAAGTGAGACACTCATTCAGATACGACAGTGTCTTCTCCTGAGGATCACCATGGTAATTTATGATGCCCTCAGTGCCATTACTTTACAAATGACATGGATTCAGCAATTTATATACTGGCATACATATACATAAAAGGAGACAAGTTTGTGGAGAATGTCAGTTGCAAAAACATTTCAATATTATTCTAAGTTAACTACTATGCCACAGGTGAATAACATTTGAGTTCTGCTTTTGCTGTTGTAGCCTTTTTTCTAACTCTAGCAAAACCTGCTAGTTTCTATTCATTTCTTCATTTAAATTATGTGTTCCATTGTGTATGAGAAGTTTTAATCTCCTACAGACTGACAGAAATCATGGTGGATTTTTAGACTCTTTGTAGTACAGAGAGACATTCTACATCCTCTGCTGCATACTATTGATTCTCCCAGGTTTGTGGCTGATCTCTTTCCCTCTCATGCTATACCACAGTCTTAGCATATGCTTCTTAATCTCCTCTACTTTAGTACATTCTATCTTTTCCCAAGGAGCAGAGTTTAGGTCTCACCTCCATCAAGTGATCTGCACTCATCTTTCCCCATGCCTCCCTCCCAGTGCATATTATCTACACAACCCTGAGTGAATAACACAGAAGATCTTTAGGAGTCACAAGAAATGTTTCCAGAAATTGAGAAAGTAGAGCCCAGTGTATGATATAAAAATGTAAAGTAAGAAGAGGAAAAGATAAAAAATGTTTTAGGGCATCTGTATATCTCTTCTTTCTTCTTATCTCTTTTCTCCTCCAGAAGGAGCGAACTGAAAAGTTATAGGAACTTCCTTAACTAGGAATGTCATATCAGATGAGCTGAGATTTAGGAAGAAGAGAGTTATCTAGAGAGATCAAAGTTTGAAATCAGTTTTGAACTGAACCTACTATCTGGCCAGACATCAATTATAGTTGTGTCTTTTAATATAACACAATTCTGCAGTGCCCAGGTCTCTTTGTAAAATAATAACCTGACAAATGTTTTTCCTGATTTTTTTCCTTTCCATTTCCCATTTTCACTTCCTTCCTCTTCTGTCTTCCAAATCTATAGTACTGTAAGGGTATCTGATAACCATACAAACTATGCCCGGACATCGCCCTCCTTCTGCCTAACAGCAATCAATAAAAAAGCAACAACAAACCTACTTTGCAATGAAAACCAGTCTTAAAATTACCACTAACATCTTGGAAAGAGGTGCCCTCCTTTCCCAGACTTATATACCTGACTTAACATTTAGAATTGGTACAGGAAATACACTGTTATAAACCACAGATATGCCACAAGGACACGCTGAGGTTTTCTTCTCTTCTGTCTTTTTGAAGCTGACTATGCCGTATACAACTGTGGAATTTAAGGAGCATCCAGAAGAGTACTATGTAGAAATATGCTTTTCAGCAAACATTTCTTGAACTGAATCATTTGATAAAAAACGTCTCTCAGTATCACTTTCTTTTTCATTGAAAGATGATGACTCATCTATTACTTGAACTTCCAGTTTAGGTTTAAGTTAAGTTAGAGTTGGAATTTTAAGAGGGTATGAGAGACCACAAGAGCAAAAGAACATTTAGAAAGTGTCCCTAAAAGTCCCTAAAATTTCCTTCATGAAACAAAATAGGGAAAACACATAAGGAACATTCTATAGAATACTGTAGATTATTTCCAAAAGTTATGCTATTATGCCATGTACCTAAAGCTCCAAATTCACTTTCTGTTAGAAAATTTGTTTTAATTTTTGTGGTACTGAGATTCAAACTCAGTACTTTGTGCTTCCTAGGCAAGCACTCTAGCACTTGAGGCACATCTCCATCCCTCTTATCATTAGCTTTAAAAATTTATATATCAAGCATGATATCATACTGCTCCATTCATTTTTTTTTGAAAATAACATCATTAGGTATGAAATAGTTTTTCATTCTTAAATAACCAATTCTCTTTGTCAGAATTCAGAACTGAATTGCCTTAGGGAATGGCTCACAATACGATGAGGGGGTTTCTTTTTCTCTTAATAGCATAGGAAACATTTGTGAATTCAAGATAGGATTTCTTATAGAAAGCAGTTAGGAGAACTATGTATCTGGGGACTGCTGCTTTCCTGCTGACCTAAGAGTTTTTATGTACCAAACAGTAGTCCCGAATGACTGTTACTAAAGGGCCAGTAAGTCAGTAGCACCTCACTAGGCACCAAGGAACAACATGGTCCCTGTACTCTAGGACCATGATTGAAAAATTCATCCTTCATCTCCTAAGTCACAGTTCGTATAAATGCAAATTTTCAGTTAAGTAAAGCAAGGTGCCAAGTCTCTAGAGAGAAAATAGATATTGCCAAGAAAAAGACCTCTTAGGAAGCTGTGATTTGAGTAATTTAGAGAAGACAGAAAGTTGAATTTTTCCAGGTGGGATAGAAAAGTGGCCAGTTTCACCACCATAGTTAGCAGCAATGGTCCTGAACTAATCCTAAAGAGGCCCCTGTCTCAGCAAATTCCAAGAATTAGCTGAGTGAATGAATGCTTGGTGTGCATTTGAACATATATAATGTTTTCTGTAAGAAGGAACTCTGAATAATGTCACTAGTAATCACTTATGTATGTATTAATTAAAAAAACACTTCTGGAAAATTTCAGATGTGCCAAACATTGTGATAGGGCATACACAGATAAATAACACACATACTTTGTTTTTAAGAAAGTTACTCCAGTGGGAGAAACTCATATAAATGAAAAAATATATAACAGTGCTAATAAGGGTAATTAAAAAATACTATGAAAGCATAGTTGGGGTAGACAGATAAAATATTAGGGAGGATTCAGAGACAAAGCAGTGCTTGAGCAGCATTTTAAAGGAAGAGCAAGA